CCATTGTTGGCCAGCTAGGGTGTCCAATTTGGCATGCAAGACTGTTTTCTCCAACTCCTGCTCACATGTCAATCAGCAGGCATCACTTGTGACATCAGCTTATGGGGGGGAGGGGGGTTCCTTTGTGTGCTGGCTGCATGCGTACCAAGGATAAATCATGCTCAATTGGCTAGGCATACCTGTTCCATGCATAGCCAAACCTGTCCCACCCAGTCAAAGCAAGCAGTCTCAATTTTTTGCAGGTATTGGCTGAGAGAGGTACTTTTTGGTCTCGCAGCAGATGCTTTCAAAATGCCAGCTTCTCCCCCACTCCATCAGTTGATGGAGATGGGAGCAAGAAGTGCTTTGCTAGCCTGGTGCAGAGCATTGGGCCAGCAATGCCCCTTATGCTACAGTTCCCAAGCGCCTAACAGCTATTTGGGTGTCAGACACTTGGGAGCCCTGAGTATAGGGTTTTGACACATGCATGAGACAACCCACCTGTTAATCATGTGGTCTCAATAATGGCACCATTTGATTGACAGGGGAGTTGTGTCACCCATCTGTGAAAGTTTGCCTGCAGGGTGGGCCAAAATTTTTTCCTCACCCTTATTCTATAGCTAATTAATTTAAGAAGCTGCAATATACCAGAGTGAGAAATTTGAAATACTCATCTTTTGACGCTGTGGTCCTCTCTGTAAGGCAAAAAGTATTGGATTTGAGTCTAGCTACTTTTGTTCAATACTGCTGGCAAGAATTTTAATTTTTGTACCACACTCTTATAAAAGAAAAAAAAACCTGCAGCAGCAAGAGTTGTTGCCATTTTGAACTGGTGGGCATGTCCCCCAACGCCAGTGGGCCACTTGTCAGTTGCCTGATTTCATCATAACATCAAATGAGCTGTTTTCCTTTGCCCCTGCAGTTTGACATCAAGCTGTATGGACAAAGAATGTGTTTTTCTGCGGAGCCTGCCTTAGGCGCCAGTCAACTGATCAGCACTTCAGTTCCAGTAGTGCCAGTCAACAAAGCATTTGATGACACATGGGCCCCTCTGCACCTCATATTTGACATCAGAGAACACTAGAAGCTGTGCAAAGGGAACTGAATCTGACCAACAGGTTGCTTCTTATCTCCCCTACACACACACACACACACACACACACATACACACACCACCCATGGGCCAAATTTGAGAGATGGACAGCACTTTGTATCCCCAACAACCATCTCATCAGTGGAACTTCAGTTCATTGCATTGTTATTTTCAGTCAGCTGATCTTCGGTACTTCAGAAGCCAAGTGTGAAGCCCTTTTTAGCTCTATAAATCAACTGATCATTAGGACTTCAGAAGAATTGCATGCTGGATTTAGAAGCCATGACAATCTGCTGAAGTCCCTTTTGGCCCAGCTAGCTTAAATGAAGAGGCCTGGCGGGCCTAATTAGATCCATGGGCTGGAGGTTCCTTAAAATTAATTATTGTGAAGCTTTGTGGCTTGTAATAGACTTCGTGGAAATATTCCTCAAAAAGCACTTATATTCTTGGGGTCAAATAAATCTCATGTCTTCCACTGACACATTTTTCCTTTTTATTTTTAGCATGGCGACAGAATTATACCTTCCTGACTAGATATCACTGTTTAACAACACAAGTTGTGCAAACGTGTTAGATGAAGTGACTCATATGTATGAAGTTATTTTTAGACTTTTAATTTGTGCTATACAGAATGTAACGGGGGGAGATGGTATACAGCTAGAGCCCTTTATTATGGCTTACAGAGCTCGTGAACTCATCATGCCTTTAAAAGATGACTAAGCAAGGGGTCTGTTAGCACTTCCAGGAATTTACAGACATGACTCATGCATCTATTGTCTACAGACATAGCACCAAGGTATCTGTGAGTCAACTTGTTTGGAAATAGTATTTGCAGCAATTGACATGAATGCTAACATACTTTTTATCTAGAAAACTTGAAAAAAAAAACTTAAGCATGGTTTTGCAAAGTTCAGATTCTCAAGCCAAATTCAGGCAGTCTTTGGGCATGTAGCAAGCTGTCTGAAATGTTTGCATATGCTGGTGTCAGCATTTTCTATCTTTATTAGAGCTGTTCCTTGATCTAATCTAGGATCGCCAGTAATTCTGCGTAGAAGCCTTGGGTTTATCTTTGCTCCCCCTTTTCTGTTGCAAAGCCTTGTCACTTCTATATAGCAAAATCTCTCTTTCTCCTCTTGGTTGAAACTCAAGGTTTGTGCTCTAGTCACCTCCTGCCTTGCCTAATTCAACCTTATTTTGGAAGGAGGATTATGGCTAGAGGTGAGAGAACTGAGATGTGCCAAAGTCATTCACCTCATTCAGTCCAAATGATCCCTCTCCTCAGTTTTCTACACTGTTTTCCAAGCTACTTCCCACCATCTGGTATAAAAACTCCTTGCTCTTACCACTAAAGCCCTCCACAGACTTGTCCCTGTCCCCTGTCCTCCACCCCATGTCTTTCGTTCCTCAGACTCATATTGCCTCTGCTGCTCAAGTTTTTCTGCCCTTCCTTTCTTGTGTACTGAATCCCTTCCTAGGACTACATAGTTTTAACTCCCAATATTTGTTCAAAATTCCTCATCAGACTTCTCCTGTTTTTTATATAATTTTTATTAAATGTTCTGTTTTACGTTTTAGAATATTCATTTAAGCAACCTTAAAATATCAATGACTTCTCTTCTTCTCTTTCCATGGTTCATTTTGCATAACATAAATCCCTGCATATTTTACATAAACTGAACCATTCAGTATTCCATTATTACATCCATCAAAGCTTATTTACACTGTTGAATTTATCTTAACGCTGCCAACGTTTTCAAGTGTACACAATTTCAATAAACATTTTCCAGTCTTCTTTAAACGTATGTTCTTCTTGTTCTCTTATTCTATATGATAGGTCTGCAAGCTGCGCATATTCCATCAGTTTAAGTTACCATTCTTCTTTAGTTGGGACCTCGCTCGTTTTCCAGCCTGTTAAGCCTTTGGCTGGTAACCTCAGCTGGTAAAAATCCCCATGTTATTCCAACTGCTGCTGTCAGCTCATCGGCCCAGGCTTCTGGGGATGGGAGAGGTGTATTGGCTACCTGAGTTCTTGTTCTTGCTGGTTTAATTTATAACTGGAATGTTGTGTTTGGTTTCCTATTTTTGATTTCATTGCTATGTTTTGTTTTGAATTTATGTCTTTCTGCCCTAGGACTTTTGGGCAAAGGACCAAGGTTAATTTTTCTAAAGAAATAATGAAGAGTGTCTGTGCATATCTTCCCCTGTCCCCCTTGCTTTTCCTTTCCCTCTCCTCCTGTTGGACTTCCCATAGATGAAATGTAGGCTGTTTCAGATTTGGTGGTATGAGAGTCAGTGTGGAGTAGTAACTAGAATGTTGAATTAGAACTGGGACAGACACGGTTCAGATCCCTGCTCAGCCATGCTTCTCTCTGTGTTACTTTGGCCTGTGTCTACATCTTGGCCTATGGCTGGTTGTGAGGATACAGGTTGCGGGGACAAAACATCTATTCTACCTCAAACTCTTTGGAAGGAAGGCAGGATACAAATGTAATGAAATAAATACATACCTGTATGTATAAATAAATACATTCCAAGGCCACTGCTTGTGTTAAACTTTTCAATTATGTATCTAGTTATATTGATCTTTTATATTTCATGTGGGGCAAGTTCTCGTCTTCAAAGGGGGGTCATGAATACAGGGAGCGAGGGGAAACTTCTGTAAGAAATTGGAAATCAGCTGGGGCTAAGAAGTGAAATTGTTCACAGGAGATTTGGGGTCAGGAGAAGCTGCACGTTAAGGAGGAATTATAGAAGTACAAATGTACTATGGGCAAGAAAGCTGAGAAGGCATGGGGGTCAACTTGATCATGCACATTGATTCAATAGCTGGGCATAATAGAACCTTGGTGGGGGGGTTTTTAGTTAACTGGAAGAAGCCTTTTCTTCCCTTTTCTTCTGAAACAGTCCTGTGGTTGGGGTGGGTGGGGGATTCAGCAATCACTGAAAGACTAATCACCACAAATGAAAGCTTTTCTGAATTGACAGTCATGTCTCTATTATGCTTTTAAACATGACTTCAGTACTATATACTTTGCTCTTAAAACAAAGCTTTTGACTTACTTAATAAGAGGAAAACTGCTATTAGTGCCTTTCTCAGTAAGTCAGAGGTTTTAAAAATCTAGATAATGGGGAAACTTAGGATTCTTGAGTAAAAAGACAAATGAAACTAATACAACAGATACTGTTAACTTTCTTCACTGAAGTTTTATTATCCTCTCTCCCTGCTTTATACCACTTGCAGAAAGAAATTTTGCTTTTAAAAGAAACCTGATGCTTGAGGGAAAAGTAATTTAAAATAACAACCAAACACATAAAGGAAATGGAATTTAAATACAAAGCGCAAACAGCAAAGAATAGAATCATAGAATTATAGAGTCGGAAGGGATCGCAGGGATTATCTAGTCCAACCCTATGCAATGCAGGAATCTCAACTAGATCATACAAGGCAGGTGGCCATCCAGCCTCTGCTTAAAAGCCTCAAGGGAAGGAGAGCATTTCTGGCCCCCACCTAGAGCTTATAAAACAATTTGAAACAAAATAAAAAAAAATCCTTCCAGTAGCCCCTTAGAGACCAACTAAGTTTGTTATTGGTATGAGCTTTTGTGTACATGCACACTTCTTCAGATACTTTTGTGCATGCACACGTAAGTTCATACCAATAACAAACTTAGTTGGTCTCTAAGGTGCTACTGGAAGGAATTTTTAATTTTTGTTTCGACTACGGCAGACCAACACGGTTACCTATCTGTAACTAAAACACTTTGAGTTTGTTGAGTGAAAGGAAGCTTTACGTTGTCATAATGTTAAAGTTTTGCTGTGGATGTTACACTGATAAGCTTAGAAGTTTCTTAATCTGTTTGTCAAATGAGGAAGATGAAAGCAAGAAAGAACAAAATCCCTTAACCTGTCGTCTTTTTCTTCTTTGCAGTTGACCTCCCACTCTATTTTCCTCGGGACCAGCCAACATTAACGTTTCAGTCTGTCTATCACTTCACTAACAGTGGGGAGCTCTATTCGCAGGCCCAGAAAAACTACCCCTACAGTCCACGTTGGGATGGCAATGAGATGGCCAAAAGAGCAAAGTAAGTCATCTCTCCTTTTGTGGGGTAGTTCTGCAATATACTATACATGTACTGTAGTTTGCTTTCTGTTTGAACTAGCTAACCGCCTCTGAAATGTGATTAGGGGAAAGTGAGGTGAATGAAGCCTAAGCTACTTTCTTACATGCAGATACGCTCTGCTCCATTCACTTTCTTCCCTCCAGACCTTTTCCTTACCGCCAGACTTTAGCTCCTTTTCCTTTTAGCTCCCCTCCCTATTACATGACCTTCCAATTCTCAGGTGTCCTCCTTAAATGAAGTGCAGATTTTTCAAGTACATCCCAGGGCAGTTCCCAACATAAAAATGATAAACATAAAAATGGGTTTTTCATCTCTGTCCGGCCATGTTCTCCTCAAGTCCTCCAGTTGTTGACTCTGCCATTCATTGCCCTCAGCTCCTTGAAATACCAAGGAGCCAACATGACTCAGTGACTTGCTGACAGACATGTCAATGTGACCATATTGGTAGCATGAGTAATCTCCCAATTTCTGGCAGGACCACTGGACAGATCTCTGGGAAATTCCCCCCAGGGACATTAGGAAACTATCTGGCTCCATACATCTCCAGTGGTAGATGTTTCCATTGGCCCCATACCCTGCAGCATACAGCCCAAGCTTGATTAGAGGGTCATATATCCATGACAGCAGTCTTTGTCAGCTCCCCCACCAAACACTAGTACAGAAAAGCAGGTCTAAAGTGTGTCCTGCCACATGCATTTTGCCAGATATAATCTGAGACAGACCCATGGTTGTCATGGCAGTGATGAAATTTTGAGCTGCTCCAAATAAGGTTGCCTCAGCATGTATGTTGAAATCCCCCAAAACTATAGCATTGGGGTTCTCCACACCACCTCCATCAGCTCAAGCAGGCATGTAATTGTTACTTTCAGCAATTTTCTTATTCTGAAACCTGTAGTGGGATTATACAATTGTATTTATCCATTTTATTGTGGCAATATTGAGCAGATCTACATCGTTAAGCCACTCTTTGCTTTGTTTCACTTTACTTCAAGGGCCAAAGTATTTGAAGTAAAACGAATGGAAGATTTGAGATTGGGAGATAGATGGCCATTTTGGCCGCATCTAAAGATGGTTTTTTAAGAAGTGGTTTAATAACCACCTCTTTCAGCGGGTCTGGGAAGGCTCCCTCACAGAGGAAAGCATTCACCACCCTGCAGAGCCCATCTCCCAGCCCTTCCAGGCATGCTTTTATTAGCCAGGATGGGCAAGAATCAAGGAGACAGGTGATTGGTTTCACTCGTCCAAGCCGCCTGTCCACATCCTCGGAGGTAACAGATTGGAATCGATTCCATGCAACTCGACTAGACAGGACTCTAGCACTCTCCTGCTCCCACTGTGGAGTCTACCTTTTCCCGAATCTGAGTGACTTTATCTGCAAAACTTTGCAAAATCATTGCAGGAGATCTTGGGGTCTTTACCAGGCCCCGATGGCAAAGGTGGTTCTGTTAAATTGTGAACTACCTGAAAGAGTCTCCTGAGGATGTGAAGAAAGTCCTCTTCATCATCACTATTGCCACTTGGTAGGCTCAATACTGACCTCCAACCCGTGTCTGGTCCGATTCAGAATGAGTTTTCCGCCACCGGCGCTCTAGCCGTCTCAGCGATTGTTTCATCACCCTCAGCTTCGGGAGAAACCGTGGGGCTGACTGGGCTTCATGCAATTGGAGAGGGCGCTTCAGAGCCATACAGTTGATAGCCCTGGTTAACTCTGCATTCCAGTGGGCCACCAGGGAATCAGCTGAAAGGCCATCAACATGAGATAAAACATCCCTTACCACCCTCTGGAAACCGTTTGGCTCCATTAAAGGGGGGGGCAGACCATTGGAATCAGTCCCACCTCCCTGCAGAGGGGAAGGGTCGCAGAGAAGTCCAGTTGTACCAGGAAGTGATCTGACCATGGCACTTCTTTTGTTTCACTTTTACTGGGTGTCAGATCACCTACGTCACTAGAGGTGAACACCAGGTCTAAGGCATGTCCACGACTATGAGTTGGACCAAACTTATTCAGGGACAGCCCCATGGAGGCCGTATTTTTCACGGTCCCAAGCGTCCCCTTGTAGGTGCTTTCTATTGGCCTGTCAAATTGCAAAAATGTTGAAACAGCAGCATGTTAGAAATCAGCAAGTTGTAAAAATAAAATAGGTTTGATCACTCCTTGAAATATAGCAGAAAGCATCCTTCGGTTTAGTTTAGTTGTGATTAATGGATGAATATGCTGATACCATTGTATAAACTCAGCAAAATAGAAAAGTTTTCGTTACATGTGGATTGCTACATGTAATTAGTGCATTCTCTGTGGGGCTCCATTGCATTTGATCCAGAAACTGCAGTTGGTGCAGAATGCAGTTGGGGTGTTATTGGATTGTTGTTTTTATTTTTATTATATATATTGTGGTTTTTCTGTTGATCTTTTCTGTGAACCGCCCAGAGATCTCCGGGTATAGGGTGGTATATAAATCTAATAAATAATATTAATTAATAATAATAATGCTGCCACACAGTTGCGGTCAGAGGGAGACCCTGCCAGTATATAACATCTTGTTCAGATGTTGCCGATTTGCTACCAGGCCAAGTTCAAGTTGTTAATATTAGCACATAAAGACCTTAAGAGCTTGGAATCAGTTTACTTGTGGGGTCATCTTAATCCATATATGCCCACTTGACCGCCTTGATCTGCAGAACTGGCATTATGGCAGGTGTTGCGTAATACTCACTCTGCACTGGTAAAAAATTCGATTTTTTAGTCTGCAAGCACCTGCACTTTGGAACTCCCTGCTGATTGACATCAGGCAGGGGCCTTCGCTGTACTCTTGTCAGCACCTGCTTAAAACATTCTCATTTAGTCAAGCCTGCCCAGACAAACAGAACTTACATATGTTTTATTTCTTTTTAACTACTGCTGATTTCAATCATATTTTGAATGTTTAAATACCTGTTTTTAATTGTTTTTTTTAAATCAATTTTGATGTTTTTATATATTTTTTGCAACCCACTTAAGAGGGCATTTTGTTTGTTTTGCTTTTACAGTCAAGCAGTATATAATTTTGTTAATAAATGAATAATTTTTACCAGAGGAATATAAAGAACTATAATTCTGCCCTTAGTTTAGTCTGTGATCAGTGACATGATTGATTTATATTAATCTAAGGATGAATAAAGCGACTGGTAGAAGTGCCACCCGATAATTAGGGGGCTTCTCACTTCATGTTTTGTTTTATTTGGAAGCATGTGGGCTGGTCGTGATTGCATGAAGGTATAGATTACAGTTCAGGGTGAGCACATGGAAATCTGAAAGCATCCTGGGAAGGGAATGAGATTCCTTGTCATTGTGAACAAAGGCTGTCAATTTAAGGTGACATCCTTGAAACTGTGAAACAGCTTCAGCTATGGAAACACATATTCAGTGATATGTGAAGGGAACTGTACACCTGAATTTGCTTCACTGTTGAAGGCGACCAGGTTCTGAATTCAGGCTGGCTGATTATTCTGTTTTGCTTTTTGCTTATTGTTGCATAGTCATGGAATAGACCATAAAAAACCTCTCACATAGGAGTGCAGTATACAGCATTTTTAACTATCTGCAATGGTGAATTGCAGCATAGTTAACCAGTGTGGTTGAGAATTCCTACTTTTATAAAATACAGAAATGTCAAATAGTACCTGTCCTTATGGTGATATACTGCAGTGGGAACTTTTAAAGACATTGATCCTTCATGGGAGGTGCTGCCAGTTTAAACATGCCTACCTTTTATTGTCTTGTTGGGTGTGTCCTTATTATCTTGCCCTTCCAGGGTTCTGGCATGGGTGTTACTCAGAAGATCAAGAGAAGCAGTTATAAATCAATATCATCTCTCACAAAATATTACACAGCATAGACAGGTGTAGTAGTATAAGAATTCACAGAGGTCACTGTAACTTCTTATTATAAGACCTTTTTAAGAAAATGAACAAGTTAAAATGCAGTGCCATCACAGTTTCTTCAAAAGTTTGGGGAAGACATCATAAAAGAAGATCATTTTTTATTCCCTCCTTTTCACTGCTTCTGGTTGTGCTCTCTGCCCTGACCATTGGACTGACAAAGCTGTTCACATAATCAAGCAATAGCCTTCAAATGTGAGGTCAATGGTGGTGTTCCTCCAAATACCACCAGCTGGAGGTTGAGACCAAACATTTTTACCTTCAAATGTGGGTTTCCCAGAGGCATCTGTCCAACTACCGTTGGAATCAGGACTAGATCCTGGACTGGGTGGACCTTTGATCTGATCCAACAGGGTTATTCTTATGCCAGGACTTAAGACAGTAAGGCTATGCACAAAATAATCCAATTCATCCTTGCAAGGAACCAAGCCCTGCTTGTTAATCTTGATATTCAGAGGTTGGGTTTATTCTGTTAAGTCCCTTGTTAGGAACTTGAATGTTCATTTTTAGCTTTCATTATTCATTAAAGTCATTTAATGGGGAACATTTTCATTTAAGAAACTTAGAATTTTTTTTCAGGTTTTCTAATTTTTTCATAAAAATTAGGAAACACCTATAAAATCTCTTGGTCAGGTTTCATTAGTAAAAATAATACAGGTCGATGGTTGGGTTTTTTACAGGCTATTTTATCAACTTTTGTTATAATCTTAAGTGCCATTGTTGAGTGAAATGGTTGAGTGGCGCTGTGGTCTAAACCACTGAGCCTCTTGGGCTTGCCGATAAGAAGGTTGGCGGTTCGAATCCGCATGATGGGGTGAGCTCCCATTGCTCTGTCCCAGCTTCTGCCAACCTAGCAGTTTGAAAGCATACCAATGCAAGTATGGCCACATGACCCGGAAAGCTGTCTGTGGACAAAAGCCGGCTCCATCGGCCTGAAGCAAGATGAGTGCCGCATCCCATAGTCACCTTTGTCTGGACTCAACCATCCATGGGTCATTTACCTTTACCTTTTTTACTTTTTATGTTCAAAACACCCACCTTCT